CCCCCCCCCCCCCCCGCCCCCGATTTGTTCTGACCGTCGGCCGCGGCCGCCGCCCCCCCGCCGTTGACGCTTTCCAGCGCCGCAGCCAAGGCCGGGACAATGTCGGCGAACAAGGCGGCGCGATTGGTGGCCAGGTTTTGCAGCGCGTTTATCAGGAGGGAATAGTGTTGCGCCCCGAAGCTCGCCCCCCCCCCCCCCGCCGCCGCCGCTGCCGCCGCCGCCGCACCGCCGCCGTTGCCTAGCCATCCTACCATCTGTCTCGCCAGCGCATGGCCGGCTTGATCGAGGGTGTCAGCGAGGAGGAAGGGGTGCGAGGGGCTTAGGTCTCGCTGGACAGACTTGTCCCCCCCGCGGGAGGCAGTGGGACCTAGTCCCCGCCCCCCGACACACGCGAGGACGACGCTCTCCGCAAACTTGATGGCCACCATGGAAATGTCCGCGGGGCCTGAGTTGATGGTGTTGAGCACCGCTTTCCTTCGCGTGCCGAGTGACGGAAAAACGCAACCACGAGAAAAGGTTAGGACAAAAAATGGCGTGGTTGATTCGAGTCTTTACGTGATCAAACCATGTGCGCAGCTTTCGACTCTATAAACAGCAGGTTTGCCTTTCAACTCGAGGTTTGCACTGTTGGGTGAACGGCTATTCAGCCAAATGGCACGCTCCACAACCAGCCGGGGTTGTTTTCCGCGATGAGTCGACACGCCGCATACATCTGCATCTTCAGACATTCAAGGGGCGGGAAAGCGTCGTGCTCGAGAGATGAGGGATTGCCGAAGAACAGTCGACAAACGTCGGGGGGTACAACCATTCCCTCCCCACCAGCCCACCCTCCCGCCAAACTGTGCCTGACACGGCCTTCCGATGGAGAAAGGCGAGGACTTGCACCTCACCTAAGCCCTTCCAGCACCGACCAGTCCTGCTGAGCACCTTTCACGCTGCCGTTGTCCACCAATCGCTGCAAAGCAGGTCTGTACGTCGTGTTCGCCAGGAGAATAGCCACCTTAAAAACATAACATCGATACCGAAGGTAGCGGGAGGCCCCAAGCAGGTCGGAGCAGCAGCGAGAACGGCATCAGACGAAGAATGTCCGAGTTGATTTACTCAACAAAGTATCCTTCCGCTAAACAAGAAGGACACACCAACAGTCACCGCGTAGAGATCGACCTTAACAACGAGGAAAGCTATCGAAACCGATCAGAAAAAGCACAGCGACGGACCACTGGACAACGAAAGGCGGCACTTCCGCGGGGCGAAGTCTATGGAGGCGGAGGAGAAAACCGTAACAAGTGGATACGTTTAAAACATACAAAAAAATACGCCCAGTACAATCCAGCTGGTTTTCTTCCCACTCGCTTCAATACATCCCCTTCGCCTGTGGCATCATCTCGAACAGTTAGTCTTTTCTTTGATTGCATGTATACTACCTGAAAATAGACGGCAGCACGAAGGTAAGACGCACCTTCTTGACGCTGGTGTTGCTGTCGTGCATGAGAAAGGACGCCACGGGGACCACCAGGCCCACGTGCTCCGGGTGCGATCTCACCACCTCTCGCAGGAACGATGCTACGAACTTGCGACAATTCGCGTTGAAGTCCGTCTTTTTTTCATAAGCGGGTAAGAGCGCGTGAGCACGGTGTAGCCAGCAGTGGGGAAGCGGGTTAGCTCCGAGGACAGCATGGCAGCGGGGTGGGAACTCAACCCGCGACGCGTTCAACGTGGCGCGTACCGGTACACGATGAAGGGAGGGGCTATGTAATCCGCACCATGGCGCCCCCCCCGGAGGCCTCAAGGCGCAACCGATGCACGCGATGCGTCGCCTACACGTGTAGTGTGAAAGTTTTAAAAACGTGCAAACGATTGTTTTGCGTAAGTGCCTCGAATGGCGTGTACCTCACGCTCAACTTTCCACGAGCCAATCACCGCCTCGCCGACAGTGGCAGAATTGTGGCTTGACTCCAGGTCCGAACCATGGAGAACCAACCCTTCCGGCCAGACAAAAAAGATGAAGATTGCTTATATGACATTTGACTGCACCTCCAATGACAGGCGACAGAGGCCCAATGGTTCAGGGTCTGCCAGCACTTCCACAGTTCGAGGTTCCGAAAACATCAACACACCCAAAGAAGACATACAGTACTCTATTGGAGGTGGCATCGCTCTCAATACCCACAGCAGGGAGACGCGCGCGAGCCTACTCCTGAGCTTTCGGAACGCTGTTGGGGCTTCCCATACTTGAATATGTACAAGTACAAAATAACGGGGTGCAGACACACCTGAAACTCGGCCACCATTGGGATCACCTCCGGCAGCAACGATCTGTCGCGGTTGAAGCAAATCTCCTTCACCTGTCCAAGAAGCGGGCAAACAGTGATGGGCCGGTTGATTAGTGCTCTAGACTATGGGCTACGGCTTATAGTGACAACGCACGGCGTATGTCGGGGGGTACAGTAGTGCTCGTGGGATCACCGAACGCAAGGAACTGCTGTGCGTGCTGCTTCGAACACGAGAGCGCCGGAGGTCCTGTACACAGATAAATACCATACCATACAACACCTGTGATCGACCTCTGAGGTGCCACCGACTTAAGACAACAAGAACTCTCGCGGAATACCACGTGACGGGATGCAGATACTTTTGAATCCATTGCGATTGGCAAACACTCACTCTGCCTGGATTATTTGTAGACCAGCACAACACGCTTTGTTGCGTAAGATATCACACCCCCTGGACTGACGTTCAAACCTCGTTTGTTTTTGCAGCCAAAAGCAGTGGCGGTACCGATGGCGTCGTTGGAACCGTCTCGTTCGAGAGGTCTCTGAAAACGGATGGTTACATCCTCGTCCTTGCGGAGTGGTACAAGTAATCGAGCTCAAATTCAAATCGGTCCAGGGGGGTGTGGTATCTTGTGCAACCTACGGCGAAGCAGTTCATTCAGTGTACCGACTCGAAAGGTCCAAGACTGCTGGCGCCCAAAATAGATGGCAAAAACACACACACACACAAACTCGCTGGAGGTGTTATAAGTCACGGTCGGTTCCAGCCGTCTCCTTGTCGACCCACACCACAACGGCCATCTACTGTAGACCGCAATACACAAGCATAGACCTAATGCTGCTGTAGTCCAGGGATGCCTGGGCGCGCACTGCTGTGCTCTTTGGAGGTTGGCAAGCAGGTGGAATAAAAGCACGACAGGCTATAACTCCATCACAATTTGCAACGGGATAGGACGACCAATTACAGCACACAGCGAAAGCGGTATAATTGTAAAGGTACAACAGTAATGCTGTAGAGCACAGAACATCTTGTGGTGGGTTCCATCCGCGCAACGGCGGTGTGCAGTGGTACCAACGACGGTTTTCAAATGTAATTCATATTTCCACTGACACAACCATTGCTGTCAAGAGGATTTCCCTCATACCTGGGCTAGGAGGTGTATTTTTTGCTCCTTGGCTTCCACCTTGGCTTTGTTGATAAGGTCCACGACCTTATCGAGCAGATTGTTTGATGCCGGCATGATGTTGAGGCGAGGTATACACCCGGCTGTACCATGCGGCACCAGTTCAGCGTGCTGCTGCCCCTGACACTACAAACTTGTTTGTGCTATCTTGTAGCTAAGCGCTTGCCTACAGGGACCACGGGTACCGGGTACACCAAAGGTAGGCCAGAGAATCGCACAGGCTGCACAATACAATGCTGGCTGCACAACGCTGGCACACCAACAGCAGAGTGCCTGCGGGGCTGCGGGCTGCGGTGGGGGAGACGCACATGTATACGCTAGGGGGGAGCTACGCAGATCTCCGTAGACACTGGACTACACATTATCTCCGTAGACCGCCGTCGACAGCATAACAGAGGGTTAAAATACTACCTCCAGTAGCGCCGAATGTGCCTAATTTTTTGGTATTGGAGACAAGACTAACCCAGGAAACTACAGGGGTATCACACTGTTGAACACAGTAGGAAAAGTGTTTTGTAAGTTGCTGAACGATAATAGGATAGTGGGAGTATTGGAGAAGGAACGTAGCATTCATTATTTAGTGAGGGCCACCAGGCAGGTAGGTTTCCGACAGAAGAAGAGGGGGTGCGTAGACCACGCATTCACGGGAGGGAGAATCATCCAAGGTAGAAAGAGGGCGGGAAAGCCGACGTACTGCTTCTTCCTGGACGTGAAAAAGGCATACGATACCGTATGGAGAAATGGGCTGTGGAAACAACTGTCCAAGTACGGGATCAAGGGGAAAATGTGGAGAGTGCTGAAGAAGATGACAGAGTGTACGAAAAGCGCGGTCATGCTAGACGGAGAACTG